CTCCCAGGGACTTGGGTCCAGCAACTGGGTCCTAAAACATCTGGAGAAGGTGCTCCTCTGAGCAGGCAGATGGGATGCAGGAGCCTTGGGCAGGTGAGGTTGGTACAGGAGCAGAAGCATCAGGGAGGGAGCCCCGTTTTGCGGGGGGCACCCTCCCCAGCCCAGTCCAGGGCCCACGCTGCAGAAGCCACCAGTCTTGTCCACTGCTGCCATCTAGGGGGGCCAAGAAGTATGGCCACGGAGGTCCTCCCGCCTGCAGCCTGACCCACTTCCCTCCTCTCTATCTGTGAGGCGTCCTGAGGACGTCATACCCTCCTGCAGCCATTTAGGGTCCCCGAGTGGTTTCCATTGCAGAGTGAGGACCCTCAGGCGTAAACAGACCTGCGGCCGTGACTGATACACAGCACGGTCTCACTACCACTCCAGCCAAGCTTCTTAGTTCATTCATTTATGCATTCACCAATGTTCACCCTCTCCTCCACGCTGTGGAGAGATTTGGGGGAGACCAAACAAGTCACCTCCTTGCCCTCAGGATGCTAATGGTGTCAGTGCGACACAGGCCACCCCTGGCTTACTGGGCATGCTCTCCGAGCAAACCCTGCCCCCCTGCCCCCCCTGCCCCCCACGCACACACACACCGCTGCCTTCCTGAGACCTGAGAGCCAGGTCCCATGCAGCCCATGGGCAGGTCCCTCCTGAGAGCTGTGCGCTGTGCCCTCTCCTGCCAGCATCCCCCTTCCAAAAGCTTGCACCGCCCTCCTGGACAGCTGCCCTCTTTCTTTCTCCCGGGTTCACTCCCCAGTTGTCCTCTTTCTCCCTCACTCCATTTATTTTTCTCAGTTCCTTTCCAGTTCACTCTTCCGTGTCTTCACTGTACCCATCTTGTCCCCTTGGTCCACACTGCCAGCTGCAGGGGCATCTCAGAAGTCAGAGTGTCTCTGCAGATGGGCTGTTCATCTGCTCCCTGACTCACTGTAGCACGCCCAACACCCAGATGCGCACTAACCAGTGTAGTGTCACTTTTGGTCCTCGCCATGAAGGTGAGCCAGCGGGATGGGAGGCGGCGAAGAACTGGTCCTAGAACCAGACGGCCTGGGTTCCCATCCTGGCTCCTCTCCTATTAGCCCTGTGCCATGGGGCAAGCTCCTTAGCCTCTGCATGCCTGAGGTTCCAAATCTGTAACGCGGATGCACACAGCGCCCTCCTCGTAGGGTTGTGCAGACGGTGAGCTGAGTGTGTATGTGTCCAGTGCCTAGAGTAATGCCTGCCCCTTCGTAGGTGCTCAGTAATGGCAGTTACCACTCTTGGAGACGGGTTGTTCATCTCACACACCCAGGCCAATGGGCCTGCTGGACAAAAACACCTGCCTCTGTGTCTCTATGGTGGATGGAAAAAGCCCCGGCGCTGTACTCGGGCCTGCTGGGCAACGTTAGGCCCCCAGTCCTGTTACCAACGCAGCACTGCCGGGCGACTGAGGCACAGGCCCTGCAGCCCGCATCCATCCACAGCCCTCCCGCCCTCCCAGCAGAGACATTCAGGGCTCCTCCCTGATTCCACTGCAGGTATAAAACGATGTTCACGCGCCTGAAGGCCCTGAAGGTGGAGATCGAGCACCTGCAGCTGCTCATGGAGAAGGCCAAGGTGAAGCTGCAGAAGGAGTTTGAGGCCTGGTGGGCAGAGGAGGCCAGCAGCCTGCAGGTATGGGTGGTGACCGGGCCCCTTGCTGGCCTAGAGCCTGTCCCCCTCCTGGGGCCTGGGAAACCTCAGGGCAGCCGGGGAGGAGCCAGACACAGCCCCCAAGGGGCCAGACACAGCCCCCAAGGGGCTGCCAGGGGAAGAAGAGTGGGGACTTCAGTGCTCTGGCCCAAGTGCTCTTAGCCCCGGCTCCTGAAGCAAGAGCTGGTTTTAGTAACAAGGAACGCAGGAGGTCTGGGCTCATTGCTTCCTAGCTCCAGGCCTGTCCCATAGAAAGGTGGGAGATGGAAGGTGCAGCCCCCAAAACCAATGGATCTGCCACCGTTGTTTTGTGTGATGTTCTCCTGTGATAGCATATTGACAACACTGACTTTTTTCTTATTATAATCGTATATATTATAAAAATTTTAGAAAATACAGAAAAACACAAAGGAGTAAAAATCGCCCGAAATAGCGCCAGCACTTAAGGATAACCAATATTATCATTTTGGATTATATTACTTTATTCTTTTTCTAAGCATATATTCATATGTTTTTATAAAAATAGAATCATATTGTCTTCGGGTTTTACAAACGGCATTTTTTTACTTAATTACACAGCACGACTTCTCTTCCATGTTATGTCTTCACCTCCAAACTAATGGCCGTCACTAGCCCACCGTAGGAATTTGTTTTAATCCCTTTAACTAATCTATTGTTTAATGTTTAGTTTGTTTCTAGTATTTCACTGGATGCCCATTTGTAGATAAACCTTTGCATATTTTCTAAGCAAATTCTTAAAAGTTCCCTATCGTATAATAAAGCTGAAGTAACCTGTTAGGAAACGTGCGCACGAGCCCCGGGTTCGAGGTGTCCTCCGCTGCTCAGCTGTGCTGCCGTGAAAGTGACGAAACGCACCTGACCCGACGAGGAAACTGAGGCCCAAAGACGAGATTTGCCCCCACAGCCAGGCAGCAGTAACCCACCTGTCACCAAGTGGCCATGTGAGCCGACCACAGAGAAGAATATTTGGATACAACTAAACACACAAGATAACAAAACACAATGAGACTGNGATCGAGCACCTGCAGCTGCTCATGGAGAAGGCCAAGGTGAAGCTGCAGAAGGAGTTTGAGGCCTGGTGGGCAGAGGAGGCCAGCAGCCTGCAGGTATGGGTGGTGACCGGGCCCCTTGCTGGCCTAGAGCCTGTCCCCCTCCTGGGGCCTGGGAAACCTCAGGGCAGCCGGGGAGGAGCCAGACACAGCCCCCAAGGGGCCAGACACAGCCCCCAAGGGGCTGCCAGGGGAAGAAGAGTGGGGACTTCAGTGCTCTGGCCCAAGTGCTCTTAGCCCCGGCTCCTGAAGCAAGAGCTGGTTTTAGTAACAAGGAACGCAGGAGGTCTGGGCTCATTGCTTCCTAGCTCCAGGCCTGTCCCATAGAAAGGTGGGAGATGGAAGGTGCAGCCCCCAAAACCAATGGATCTGCCACCGTTGTTTTGTGTGATGTTCTCCTGTGATAGCATATTGACAACACTGACTTTTTTCTTATTATAATCGTATATATTATAAAAATTTTAGAAAATACAGAAAAACACAAAGGAGTAAAAATCGCCCGAAATAGCGCCAGCACTTAAGGATAACCAATATTATCATTTTGGATTATATTACTTTATTCTTTTTCTAAGCATATATTCATATGTTTTTATAAAAATAGAATCATATTGTCTTCGGGTTTTACAAACGGCATTTTTTTACTTAATTACACAGCACGACTTCTCTTCCATGTTATGTCTTCACCTCCAAACTAATGGCCGTCACTAGCCCACCGTAGGAATTTGTTTTAATCCCTTTAACTAATCTATTGTTTAATGTTTAGTTTGTTTCTAGTATTTCACTGGATGCCCATTTGTAGATAAACCTTTGCATATTTTCTAAGCAAATTCTTAAAAGTTCCCTATCGTATAATAAAGCTGAAGTAACCTGTTAGGAAACGTGCGCACGAGCCTCGGGTTCGAGGTGTCCTCCGCTGCTCAGCTGTGCTGCCGTGAAAGTGACGAAACGCACCTGACCCGACGAGGAAACTGAGGCCCAAAGACGAGATTTGCCCCCACAGCCAGGCAGCAGTAACCCACCTGTCACCAAGTGGCCATGTGAGCCGACCACAGAGAAGAATATTTGGATACAATTAAACACACAAGATAACAAAACACAATGAGACTGAAATACAGTTCTCAAAATATTTTGTTTTGTTTATTTATTATCGACAGTATTACCGATGTCCCCCATTGCCCCGTTTTGATCCCCTCCACCCAGCCCCCACCCCACCAAAATATTTTTAAAATAAAGTTATGCTATAATAATATGCAGAGCACCCTGCAAATTAATGAGACCTAAGAGCAGACCCAACATTGACCATAATTTCAAAGTAACAATGAACACTGTGATGAGATATGATCTCTCTCTGATTTGCACCGGTGATGAAGTCACAGGTGCTGCTGATATGATGGCGGCTTGTTGTCTGCATCTATCATTAGAAAAATGCTAAATTTCAGGTAGAAGTTAGGGGAAATAAAGATGCAATTGGCTCCGCCCACGTGCACAGTGCCCCTGGGGTCTGTCTCCAGTAGAGAGCCCGTCCCAGTGCAGTCAGCGCCGAGTGAGGCATCAGCCACTGCAGCACCCGAGGGAGCTCAGCAGCTGAACAGCGGTGAGGGACATCCTGTGACTCAGGAGGCGTCCAGGCCGGGCTGACAGGGTCAGGCAGATTATGACTTTCACGGACAGTGGGAGCCAGAGGAGCCAAAGGTGCCAGCTCTGGGGGCCCTCTCTCCACAGGATGTCACTGAACAGAGGGACCAGGTGACTGCAGCAGGGATGACAGGCACGCTGTCGCTGAGGAGCCGAGCAGGTTTATAGCCGGCAGGTGTCCCCTGAGCGGGATGAGGCAGGAAGCCTTAAACCTCATCAGAACAGGGGAGGCGCTGAGAAACAGTCCTGGGGAGGCAGGGAGCAGGAGAAAATAGCCTGTGGAGCGCTCACAGCCCCCATGCTCTCGTGTCCTGGGGGAACCACAGGGCGTCCTGCCGGGACGCAGGTGAGCTGCAGCCGGAGTCCCACCCAGGAGCCCTGCGAGGAGACACGCGAGGTGCCCGGCAGCCGCCAGGGAGCTGTTCCCTGCGCGAGTGCCCGTGGGGTCCTCCTGACTCGCAGCATCTCCCTGGGGCCAGGGGAAGCAAACCCAGAAAGGACTTCTGGGGAATTGTCAGATCACACATGAAACATTTTTTCCTAGCTACAGACAGTAACACAACTTCAATTTGGAAAGCTTAGCCCAGAAAAGCACCAAGAACAAGTCACACATTACCTGTAAGCTGCCACCCAGAGTATTTCAGTGCCCATCATCATAGTCATGACTATGTCGAGATTTATTTTTTCCCACGTACATCATGTATACCCACTTTTATAGCTAGTTTTTTCCCTTTAAGAACTAAATCTAGGACCCTTTCNCCTGCCACCCAAAGAGAGTATTTCAGTGCCCATCATCAGTCATGACTATGTCGAGATTTATTTTTTCCCACGTATGTTGTGTATACCAACTTTTATAGCTAGTTTTTTCCCTTTAAGAACTAAATCTAGGACCCTTTCCCATGTCATCAAATGCAGGCTAACACTGCGAAATTCCTTCTTGGGCCAACAGGTGAACTCTCCAGCTGGGAATTCACTGAGTCACACACAGCCACTCCCCCCGAGGCCTGAGTCCCAGCACGAAAGGCCNTAGGCTAACACTGCAAAATTCCTTCTTGGGCCAACAGGTGAACTCTCCAGCTGGGAATTCACTGAGTCACACACAGCCACTCCCCCCGAGGCCTGAGTCCCAGCACGAAAGGCCCCCACTTCTCTCCAACACAAGGTAAGAGGACAGGGGCGCCCGGAACCGCTCCCCACCTGTCCTTGCCTGCCCTGCGGCCCCGAGTGTCTCTCTGGGCTGCGTCATCCCAAGGAGCAGTCACTCTGCTGTTCGGTCACGTGTGGACGCTCAGGCAGTGGCTTTCCAGAAGCACAGCCCCCTCGGTCCTGCCCCCTGGCTCTGACGCCACAGACCCACGGCGATGGCCACAGGAGAAGCTCCTGAGTGGGAAGAGGGGTCTGCAGCAGGCGGGAGGGGAGAGGAGCCTGGGAGAGTGGGGGGAGGCAGGAGGGACTGTTGGTGGCAGGGCAGAGGGCAGCGGGCCTACCTGGGTGCAGGGAGCTCTGGTAAAAGACTGTCCTAACGCAGGTTGAGGACGGATGCGGGCGGCCCTGTGAGGACGGCCCCCTCATGAGCACAGCCCAGAGCCAGTTTCCCTGGATGACAGCATGACAGGAAGGGACGCTGCCCCCACACACCACCTTTGAGGGCAGGTTCCTTCTCATGACACCCCCGTTATTGTCTCTCTCCAGCCACCAACTCGGGCAGCAGAGCCGGTGCCATGTGCCTCGCTGTCCTCCAGCCCTAGAAAGACAGGACAGGGGCCAGGGCAGGGTGGGGCCTCGGCTCCACCCCAGGACCCGCCCTGTGACTGGGTTGAGCAGCAGCTGAGCTCTCTCTTTGGAAAGGGGCTGGGGGAAGGGCTGTGTCAGACGGTCCCCTTGATGGGATGCAATGGGGATGGCACTCTACCCCAGTGGTCCCCTTCTCCCAAACCCATCACTCGGGAGGAAAACATCTGCAAGTCCCCATGGAGGGACATTCTCCAGGACACCCAGCCAGCCCTCCTCAGAGCTGTCAAGGTCCTCAGACACACGGAAGGTCTGAGAAACTGTCACAGGCATGAGGAGCCTGGGCAGATACGAGGACAAGGACATTCGCTGTGCATCCTGATGGGACCCGGGATCAGAAAAGGCACACTGGGACAAAACCTGGGAAGCCTGAACACAGTGTGGACTTTGGTTCATAACAATGTGTGAGCATGGTTCGTTCATGGTGGCAAATGTGCCCACTAATATAAGATCTTACAATAAGAGAAGCTAGGTGTGGGGTAGACAGGAACTACTCATATTATCTTTACATCTTTTCTGTGACCTGAAACTATCCTTCAGCCAAACAAAACAACCCCGGACTTCTCCACAGCCCCGAGCTGGGCCTTGGCACCAGCACTCAGCTTGTATTTGAGTTTTAGGAAGCATCTCCCGTGTGCACCCCCAAGCCCACGGTGAGCAACTGCTGAGGCATGTTCTGTTGGGCTAGCCTGGTGATTTAAAAGGCAGGGCAAAATAAATAAATAAATGTCAGGGCAAATCCATAAAAGAAAAACTGATGTCGCGAATTATTTAAGTTAATGTTCCTCTGCAAAGACACTGTTAAGAGAATGAAGAAACAAGCCACAGACTGAGAGAAAATATTTGCAAAACACATCTGATAAAGGACTTGTATCCAAAACATACAAAGAACTCTTAAAATTGAATGGGCAAAAAATCTCAGTAGCCACCTCACCAAAGAAGACATGCATGTGATAAGATGCTCAATATCATATGCCATCAGGGAAATGCAATTACAATAACAATGGGAAACCACTACACACCTATTAGAATGGCTAAAAAAAAAATGACAACACCAAATGCTGGCAAGGATGTGGAACAACAGAAACTCTCATTCATTCCTTATGGGAATGCAAAATGGTACAGCCGCTTCGGAAAGTAGTTTGACAGCTTCCCACAAAATTAAAGGTACTTTTACTATATGTTTCAGTAATCACACCCTTTGGTATTTACCCAAAGGAGTTGGAAATTCACGTCCACACAAAAACCTGCACATGGATGTTTGCAGCAGCTTTATCCATATAATTGTCTAAACTGGAGCGGCCAAGATGTCCTTCAACGAGTGGATAAACAAACTNAAGTGAGTGGATAAACAAACTATGGTGTATCCAGACAATGGAATATCATTCAGGGATAAAAAGAAATGAGCTGTCAAGCCATGAAAAGACATGGAGGTCATTTAAATGCATGTTACTAAGTGAAAGAAGCCTACACACTGTATGGTTCCAACTGTGACATTCTGGAAAAGGCAAAACTATGGAGACAGCAAAAAGATCAGTAGTCACCAGGGAGTTGGGGGAAGGTGGAAAGGGTGACCAGAGGAACACAGGGGATTTTTAAGTCAGTGAAAATATGCTGTAGGACACTGTCCTGGTGGATATATAATATTATGCATTTGTCAAAACCTATAGAATGTACAACAGAAAGAGTGAGCCCCATGTAAGCTATCACTTAATAATGATGTATTAGTATTAGTTCATCATATATAACAAATAGACCACACCAATTGAAGATGGTGATACTAGAGAAACTATAAGGGGGTGGGTGGGTTACATGGGAACTCTCTGTACTATCTGCTCAATTTTCTATGAACCTGAAATTTCTCTAGAAAAGAGGCCATTAATGAGGAATAAAAGGCAGTGTAAGTAGACAGCTACACTGCTCCATGACACTGCAGGCCCCTCTGTGCTTTCACATGGGTCCCTGACAACCGCTGAGGCACTGGAGTCTGCAACCCCTCAAACCTGCCTTCTTCCCCACATGGGGCCCCCTCCTGAAACCCCAGTACCCCACAGACCACATTTGAAAAGCACTGACCCAGGCCAGCTGAGAGGCCAGAGCTTCTCCCCAACCCCCATGATTGCTCCGGCTCTGTTTTGAGCCCCTCGTGTGTCCACCACATGGGAATGAGCTCTCCTCCCAGTCTGAGGCTCAAAACCCCTGATATTCCTAGGCCTCCTTCTGATCTCTGGTAGAAACATTCAACACAACAAATAGAGTCCCATCCCTAACCCTCAGCAGAGAAAACCAAGTGTCCTGAACAGTATTTGTTAAGATGCCTCGACTGAGTGGTCAGCACCTCAAACGACCTCCCACACAGTAGTTCAACACCAAAAATTACAGACAGAAAGGTTACCACAGGCAGGTGAGAGGAAAGGGTTCCTGCTGGAGACTGGAGAGGAGATCGAGGGGCTCCCTCCTGATTAAGAAGCCACCTGACACCTGCTTTACCACAGCTCGCAGAGCTCCACCANGAGATGGAGAGGCTCCTTCCTGTTTAAGAAGCCACCTGACACCTGCTTTACCACAGCTCGCAGAGCTCCACCAGGGGCGTGGCAGGAGGAGACCTGTCCCTGGTCACTGTGGCATCGCAAACATTCCCTGTGAACACCAACAGTGGAGGGTTAGCCATTGATGACCTTAAATTCTCCAAGGAGACAGCATTGACTTTCTTCTCTTACAATAATAATAATATCCCCTGCCGTGTACCAAGGGCCCTCTGGGCCAGGCACTGAAGAGATGTGTGGCATTTGTCCCCACTTTACAGAAGACAACACTTAGGCCCCAAGAGATCCACTGACTTGTTCAGCTAATAGGTGGCAGGACAGGATTGGAGCCCAGGTTGGTCAGCGTCTGGCCACCCCACCCCACCCCAGGTCAATTAACATTAACNGAGCCCAGGTTGGTCAGCGTCTGGCCACCCCACCCCACCCCAGGTCAATTTCCATTAACTTTAATGACAGCCTTTCGGGCCGTCTGTCCATTCTGTAGTTTAGCAGAAAGTGGCATTTTCCTGCTCATATTCTGTACTATTTCATACAGTGTCTCCTGCATGGGGCCTCTCCTCTTTCAATGTGTCGCAGTCCGACTGTCCCGAGGGACCAGGGTTTGCACAGAGCAGGTCTGTGCTCCCTTCAAAGGCCAGCCTCGGGCCGAAAACCAGAGCTCCCTGTCCTTGGCCTCACCATTTCGGTTGAGAAACCCTAAAATGAACCCCCTCAGCTCACTAATGAGGAAGCTGAGGCCCAGGACGGGGGGGTGATGTCTTAGACTCTAGTTAAGAATGTGAAGAGCTTCAGCTTCCTCAGAGCTCGGACTCCATGCCGAGTGGCCCGCCTGCCTGCCTCCCTCCCCCTGCCCCCTC